CGCCGGGACGCAGCGGGACCCAGCGCTGTCTGCGCCCGGCGGCCCCGCGCCCCGCGCCCACTCGACTGGGACACGCGTGGCTGCGAACGCGGCCTTTCTCTAGGGAACGGCGTGGCCGGGGCGAGACTCAACGTCCCGCTGGAGCAGCCTCTGGGAAGCTCCTCGGAGCCAAGACAAGCGGGGATGCGCTGGGAGCCTCCGGCACCACCCGACGGGGAGCGCGATGAACACACACACACTCGCCGAGACACGCACCGAGCCAGAGGCCCAGAGACAGCCAAACACAACGCCTTCCCAGAGCCCACCAGCCGCTTCCTCCTTACCAGGGAAAGGCGGCCATCTTCCCAGTCACATGACCGCCTGTCCTGGGGCCGACAGCCCTTTTCTCTCTTCCAGACCCAGATAAGCCCCGCCCTAACCGCCATGATTATGAGGGGCCAACGTCCGCCCCGCAGAGCGCAGGCGCACCGTTCCCCGGCGCCATCATTGTTGAGGGCCGACGTCCGCTCCGCACAGCGCAGGCGCACTACTTTTTTTTTTTTAAACAGCGCCATAATTGTTAAGGGCAGACGCCCGTGCCGCAGAGCGCAGGCGCGCTATTATCTAGCGCCATCATTGTGAAGGGCAAGAGCCCTTTCCAAAAAGCGCAAGCGCGCTGTGCCCGGTTCATAATTCTGAAGAACAGATACCCATCTTGCCGCGTGCAGGTGCGCCACCTTCCGGCGCCATGACTGTAACGGTCAATTCCCGTCTGTCGCCCGCTTCCCCCACCTATCTTGTAGATCGGTAGTGCACTATTCCCCAGCACCAGGATTGTGAAGGGCAAGTTCACGTAACTCAGAACGTAGGCACACCGTTCTCTGGTGCTGTGATTCTAAAGGGCAAATTCACACGCCTCAAAGTGTAGAGGCACCATCGTGAAGGGCAGCTGTCCGTCCCGCAGAGCGCATGCGCACCATTTCCTAGCGCCATCTTTGTAAAGGTCAGACGTCCGTCCCAAAGAGCGCAGGCGCGCCGTTCCCCGCCGCCATAATTATGAAGGGCAACCGTGCCGCAGAGCGCAGGCGCGCCATTATCCGGTGCCATCATTGTAAAGGGCAGTCGCCCGTCCCAAAGGGCGCAAGCGCGCTGTTCCCCGGTTCCATGATTGTGAAGGGCAAATGCCCGCCCTGCAGTATGCAGGTGCGTCATCTTCCGGTGCCATGATTGTGAGGGGCAGTGGATCGCCCGGCTCACCTGAGCCTTCTGGGGCGGGAGAAGATTCCAGCCGTGGGCTAAACGGGGATGGTGACCACCGCGTGGGGGGGTGGGAGAGGGTCTCAGGCTGGACCCGCCAGTGTTCCTGCTGCTCATTAACTGTTCGGGCTGGGTGAGCCACGCCCCCCGCCCTGGCCAGCGCTTCCGGCACCCCGCGTCCAGGGCGGACCACCGGGGGCCGCAGGGCCGCCCCAGAGCCCAACGCGACAGCCTCCGAGCGGGCAGTCAGGGCGTCGCTTTCCGCCCCACTTGGCAAAGCCCTACGGCTCTGGGCGTCTCTAGGACGGGCGACACCCCGTGTTCTCTCCGCTTTAACCGAAGTCGCAGGAACTGTCCTGACAGTGTCCGTTCGCTGACCGCTGACCGCTGACCGCGCGAGCCCCGGGCCCTCGGCGCCCGTCCTGCTCCTCCCCGCAAGCGTCCGAAATAAACGCCATCAGCCCCGACGGCTGAGAAACCGACGGCGAGTGGCGCAGGCCGGGGTCACGGCCACCGACCTGACCCGCTGCGGGAGACCCTCGCTTAGTCACGAGGCCTTCGGCCAGGGTGTTTCCCCCTTTTCCAGTGTATTTTCTGACCGAATGAGGTCAGAAAACCACGTTCTCGAAAGGGCTCCTCGGGAAAGGCCGAATGTCCTGGCGACATGCGACGCAGGACAGCGCGCCGCGCCTGGCCGACCTCGGGCTGCAGCGCACGTCTGACAAAGCCCCACGAGGGCCGCTGACCGGGGACCGGTCGCTGCGGGCGGAGGGCGCCGCCGTGTCGCCGAGGAGGCAGCGCGGCCTGGAGCAGCTGCCGTTTTCCCAGCCACACGCGGGTGTCCCAGGCAGACCACGCAGGTCCTCCCGAAACAGGCTGTTAGAAGCTCAGGAAAAGTGCGAATGGGATTGTCCCCACCAGACGCAGAGACGCGAGACCACAGTCCGGGTGGCAGTTTTGTCACCCTCCCCGAGAAGCTGAGGAGTTGAGAGCCAGAGAGTTTTGATTAGGCGCGGTTTTTGCCCCCAGAACTGTCTTTAGAACCTGCTCAAGGATGCGACTGTTGCATTTGCTGTATTCAACGACTAAAAGGCTTCGGTTTTTAAAGTTATTTTTATAACCTACATGTATGTCCACTACGGTCCCTTGGAGAAAAAGCACTCCAACTCCATTTGCTTATTTTTTTATAACTTTTGCTTTGCGGGGAGGGGGAGTTGTCTGTGGTTGTTCATGGGACAGTGACACCTGATAGAAAAGCAAGCCCCTCATAAATGACAATAAAGAATACCAAATGGAGGCCATGAAAAAATGTCAGTAAACTTCCACAAGACAGTAAACAGTAGACACAGTGTTGACAAGCAGAAGGGGTTCTAACCAATGAGCCAGCAAAACTGCCTGCCAGGCTGCAGAGGGCAGGGGGGTCCGCAGGGTCGACCGCAAGGTCACAGGAGTGACAGCCATGCCTGTACACGATTCCACGTATATCTGGGAAGGCCTAAAATCAGGTTGTTTCTTTAACGACATGTTCGGGATGACGGGCAGGAATAGGAGGCATCAGTGCCCCCATTCCCATTCTTACACTTTAGAGTTCCCCAGAAAATAACCACGTGCCAGGCACTCACCCTGAAGAAACATCCTCCAGGTGACAAAACTCAGATAAGCGAATCCAGCTGCAAGTCACCCTGCCTTTGGCTCAATCTGAATAATTAATCCTCCGCCCCTACACAAGACTCTAAAATGAAAGACAAATACCAAGATGAATAAAAAGGAAATCCCAACTCGTGCAAAATCTGATGCTGGAATGAGCACTGGCATAGGTTACATAATAAATAGTGGGAACCATCTTTCATGGGATTTTAAATTGTAAAACGTGATCATATTGCAGCAGTATCGTTTTGGCGAGATATTTTTGAATATCTGTCCTTTAATAGTCCTTTCCTTGGTAAATAAAAGATCAAACTGGATTTCCTTTAAGATGAAAAGTTTATTTTGCCTTTTCCCTAGAAGCAAAACTAGTGAAAATTAAAGTATAAAAATAAATACAATTTACATTAATGGACATTCCACTTCAAAGTAAAAAATAACAAAAAAATAAATAAAAATCCATTAAAAGCATAAAATAATGTCTGGCACTTTTATGAGAAAAAGCTGTGAACATTAAAAAATGTGTAAAACACACAAGCTCTTATCTTTAAATGAAAAAAACACTCAAGTTTCTCATCCTTCATTTCAAACTAGTTTTAACTTTCTCCGAAACATACCATTTGTTTGCACTAATTTACACTGGTGTGCACACAACTTTTAGTATCTACCTCACTGCAGAGACCTACGAGGACATGCGTAAGCTGTATCCTGAGTTTTCAGAATGATAAAGCACAATGTATCACACTAAGAAGATAAGCTGATACACTTTGCCTACAAATAACTGGTAACTCAGACAGTTTTGACTATCTTCTGATTTCCTGGTTCATTCATTCAATAAATGATACATCCCAATAAAGAAAATTGAGTTCACACCCAATACTGTCTACAGCTGGATGTGAAAGTTAAATTTTAAATAGAACAGAAAATCAAACAATCTTTATCTCCACATTCTTAAAAGGATATTAAGAACATGGATAGTCTGCATTTTCAAAGTACCAGTATCTCTTTAGAATTCGAGTCAGAAAGATCAAGCGCACACAGTCCCGATTTCCCGTGAGAAGCACGACGCCCTTTTTGGAAATCGTACAACAAATCGGCAGGGACTTTCTCTTTCAGAACGTCACGTTCCCTCGGTAACTTTTTTTGGTTTACATTTTAAATGAATGTTAGTGATGAAAAACTTTAAAAATCAGTGCCTCTTCAGGAATGCGGAATTTCAACTGGACAATATTACACCCCATTTGAAAATCTGAACTTATTATATAGCCCTTTATTCTCTCCTAAATCAAGCATGCTATAAAAAGCAGACTGTGAAGCGACAGAGTACAGACTAGACAGAAAATAAACTGCATGCGGCATGTCATTCTATGCTACGGAAATGGGCGTATGATAAGGCATGCCTAAGCGCCACTGCGGTCAAACGGCCGTGCTGGCGTCACCGAGCCGCCGCCCTCCGCAGAAAGGTTTCATAGCTGAGCGGGAATGTTTCTGAGTGCTGGGGCAGCACACACCAAGTCTAACATTTCTGTAAGACGACTGGCTGTTGAGACAAATATGGACTTGTGACCAAAATGGTGACCCCAGCCACTCCTGTGGTAAAAGTCAGGTGGCCTGCAGTCCGCAGGCGACTGCTTTGTCCTCTGTGGTTATCCTGCAGGTCCAAGAACGTGAAGACCGAGAGATGCGTCAGAGTCCTTACCAAGCCTGGGGAACAGTCTTCTGTGACAACGTCCCCTTGACAGAGCAGCACCGGATTCGGGTATCGCACTCAGCAACCATATGCAGAGATGGATAAAATTTATATTTCGGAACCTGTATTTTATCACAGTTTTTCAATATTTTATAGAAATAAACCCAAATGTCCTCTTAAGTTTACAAAAAGGTTCTCGGCAGACATCTGGGTCCCTAAAGCAAACTTGTGTTTGTACAGATATTAACTAAATATTAATATGTTTTCACCCAAACCTAATATTAAGGAAACGGGGGTCCAGGGAAGGAATTAGCCAGATTTGATCAAATTGTCCAAATAACTGCTCAGCCCTTCGACGTCACTTGGTCTGTGTAAACAGAGTCCAGGGTTAAGTAAAAGGCCTTGGGCAGGGACAATGACATGGGTGAAACCCTCACCCCTTTTTATCCTAATGAATGTTGTCTTCTTAGATTGTCGCAACATTTGGCCGCTTTCTTTGGATTTTTCCTGCATATACTCCTAAAAATAGAGCAAAACTAATATTATTTCTCAATGTTAGTTTTTCTATGATGATACCATTTAATAAATGCTTACTTCGTACCAGGCACGTATATGAGCTAGCAATATATACTATCATATTTAATCCTTATATAAAATAATCCTGAGACAGAAATTGTTACCTCTATTTTAAGGATAATAAAACTGAGACACGTGAGAGTAAGTCACTCGCCGAAGTCACAGAGCTAGAAGTAGAAACTCTGAGAAGCCAATCGACCTGATTTGTTGTTTCCCTTATCCAGTCTGTATTACTGCCCCCTACTCAGCTTTAATTAGCAATTTCTGAATTTCGCTATCAACTCTTGAGTCAGGCATAAAACAGCAAATGAGCAAATATATTTTAAAATATATGAGCAAAGATTGCAGTTTAGTTTGTAAAAACCATAATCGACTTCAAGTGCTTTGCAGCAAAGTTTAATACCTTAGAATTCTGCTTTGGTCTGAGAGTATGATATTCTATCATCTAACAAAAATAAGTGTCTTACAAATTGCTTAATAAAGTGTTTGTTCTCCATGTAGATCAAAGATACTTTCAAATCTGTTCGAAACATAATCTAGGCCATTAAAAATCTAAGCAGTAGTTATCTTTTCAAGAACAGCTATGGATCCCTGTATTGAGATTCATAGTTAGAATTTTAATCAGTCATATCCCAAATTTTTATTTTGTGTAAATGAATAAAATTTTTTAGTCTTTTTCAGTCATCTAAATATGCACTCATATATAAATCAATCTTTAGAGAAATAGGAAAGAATTTCTGTACTTGTTTAGGTGCATATTAACACATTTTAATTCAAGGGTTAACTTCATTTGTATTAATAATTGTTACAAGGCAATTAAACTATGATAGTTCTAAATACCAAACTTCACTGTGCATATTATTAACGCAATGACCTTCTATGCATCCTTGACGCTGCTGAGCATCACTAAATAAAACCAGTAGTTGCTGTTTTGCTTATTGGTTCACAAGTGACAGAAAGTGGAGATGAAATGTATGAGAAAAGGACACGCAGACGAGTCACTGTAGCGAACAGAAAACATTCGGCAAAACAACACTAATTCCTACATAACACTAACGCGGGGAAAAACTGAAAATGTCTTAAAATCCCACATAACTTCGCAAGCAACAGATCTGGTGTTGCGTCTGAGTGTTTCCGGTGGTCTTTCAGACCGGGTGACCCTGACTGCCTCTGGAATAAAGATCTTCAATTACATAATCCCCTTTAAAAGAACCCACTGACTGTCACTCACGGTGACTTACAAAAGATGACATTTAAATAAATATCTTATGCAACATTGTGAATTAAACTCATTCTGTATATGCAAAATGTCAGCAGTCACTTCAAAGTTATGATCAATATCTTGTTTTCTTTGAATTTATGTAAATGGATGGTGATAACATAAAAAAATTTCTTATGTTGCTCATTCTCTCCTAATTTAGAGGAAATTACTGAGTAATAAAAGCTCTCAAATATGTTAATTACATATTAATGAGATTAGAATTGATTAAGGTTTAATCTTCATTGGTGACTAATTTAGGTTTTTTAATGCTTAGAAAGCAGTGTAGTTAAAGCAAAGTATTTTGAAAGTAGTTTTCATGGATCACATAATTTTTAGTGAGCTTATCAATGTGTCTTAAACAAAGATACCTAAAAAATATTAAAACATTAGATTAAGGGTTTTGCATTAGCTCAACATTAAATTTGTCTTCTTGCCACCATACATAGAATTTTAAAGTTTTTAGTGTAGCCCTTAAATAATCCTCAAATAATGAATATAAACAGAGATTTAGTTCAAGTTTCTTACTGAGCAAAAGATGAAGAAGAAACAAAATTTACGCCCCCACGCCTGTGCCGGTCACACGTGATTGCGCGGTCGGCGGGAGAAACGCCCCCTTCAGGTGCGGACAGGTATCCTGGGTGGTGCCCTGAACACACACAGATTCAGGCGTAACAGCACCACCACGTTTCACTCGTTTATAAAAAGGTTTCTGAATTAAGCACTTATAATTCTACAAATTTTTCAGATTACGAAAAAGAAAACAGTGTTTCCACAAAATTATTACAGAAATCAAGAATGGAACCGCAGTTTTTCTAAGATCTTCCGACTGCCACAAAATGCTGACGCACCAACGATCAGCAGCAGGGATGACTGTGCATAAGTATGGTGGCAAGGACAGACAGGTCCCAGTCGTGTGACCCGCGTTACGGGGCAGCCAGTGCTCTTCCTGAGAAGGGGCTTCGGGAAGTCATCGCTACACACCTGACACAGGCGCTCTGCTAGGCGCTCTGCTCCGTGAGGACGTCTGTCTATCCTGCACAACCCCCTTCACTGATGTCTTAGGGGTTCTAATTGAACATAAAAAAAGTAATAAGTCACTTGCATTAAGATCTAAATGTTCAACATTCAACAAAAGCAACCATCCTGCATCAACTGTGCTTAGCACAAATAAGCTTGAAAAGATCTGAAGTCTCATGCACGCTCGGGTAAGGAAGCTCTGCTTCTGTGTCAGCGGGAGTCGGTAACCATGGCCGATACTTTGCTGGAGAATCACTTTGGTGATGCTGAACATACTATACGGATGTTTATAATGTTCAATGAGCAACATGGTATGAAATGAAAAGTAAAAGCATGCCAACGTAAATGAAGATTAAGATAGAATGCACAATGGCACACCAACGGGTCCTCTTTGAACACGAAACTTTACAAGATCTTCCTAATGCTATAAAAAAGATCACATTTGGAAAATGCGATATAATGAGCACTAACTTATTTTCCCCCTCAAAGCCAACGCTGAGTTAAATGTTTTTAATCCCGCATGTTGCATCCTTACCCTTGTCTACTAAGCAGCCTATGAACAGGGGCATTCTGGCCTTGGTTTGGCTGAAGGACTCTGTGGACAAAGTAATAAAAAGTTAATTCCCAAAGTAAATCCTATTTTCCCCCCAATTTCTTTCAAAAGATGAAAGATGACAGTGAGGTGGAAGTCACCTCTACAGTGATATGGGCAATATATCGCAAAGCAAAATGATTAAAGCAAATTAATATAGTACTTATATTTTGTTCAACGAGAACCCAAACATTTGGGTTTTGTCAGGAAAGAGATGCCCAACGTGAGTATTAATCCCTCTGCTTTCAGATAATTCATTTATATACTTTCCAAAAGCCAACTTTTCCTCTCAAACATCTAAGAGAAGAAACTTCACTCATGTACATGTAGAAACAGGTCAGAATTATGAGGCTGGCTTTCTCAGGTTTTGAAAGAAGGACCAAAGGCCCCCGGACTGTGGACTGATCTCGGGACACAGGGGCTCAAATTCCCACCAGGACAGCGGGGACATCTGGTCTGACACATGACCAGGTACAAGACCAGGTATTAACACGGATTCTGACCCCGCGATCCTCCAACAGGAAGCATGCTACTGACATAACGTGGGACAAAGCCGACGGACCGCGAGCTTGGGATTTATAACATTTTCTTTTCTTTAAAAATAACCAAAAAAAAAAAAGCCTCTCACTGAGACTAAATGCTTTTTCTCACCTTGCCTCCAAAGGATTTTGTTTAACCAGGAATTTCTTATTTGGCATTCCCATTTCAGCGGCTCTAACAGAGTATAAAAATAAGGACACACAAATGATGTTTTTAGAAAAGGAGAAAAACATGTTCACAACTGTGATACAGGATGGCAGAAACAAACCATCATCTCAAAGCTGGTATACCACGAAAACACACTAAGGAGACTAAAGACTACTGTCAAGAAAGAGTTTTAGTGAAAGTTATTAGGATATTCTTTGCATTAACTTTTTCCTCCCATGACATCTTTAGGATATTAGAAAGAGAATATATTTAAAAGATATAAAAACTAACACTGACTATAAGCATGAACTATTTTTGAGATTATTTGATTGGCTACCAATTACACAAACTGAACACCGACAAATTTAGTAGTTAATACAAATTTTTTAAAGATGAAATCAGATTTTACTGCCTGATTTTAACAAAATTCTTCATAGAAAAAGGGATTTCTATCAGTTCAGCTGCAGAAAAGTGAACTATATTTCTAACATGAACATACGAACAGATCAACCAATGACTGAAATGAATTGGTTTGATAATAGCTAAATAAATAGGACATGACACACGAAAAAACTCACTTCATGTACTTCTTCCTATCAAGAGACTTCTGTGTCGCAGCTGAAAGCGCCACTCGTGGACTTTTCATTTTATCCTTTAAAATACAAAAGTCACATAAAGCTCTAGTGGGACCAGTAACAGCACTAAATTAAAGCATGGGATGATCTCCAATCGCGTGGACAAGCGTCTCTTACTAGCATTTTGAACTTTAACCTTGTCTTCATGACTGAAGCAGTTCAATTTTTTAAAAAATTTATTAAAATTATTTTCCCAATGAAATAATACAAAATTTGCTTGTTTTTCTTTTGCCAATCACACTTAAGTCTCTAATTCAAACCACAGATATTCGACATTGATATATTTCAAGTTAACTTGGAGCCTGTTTCTAACTCTGATTTCCAAAAAGGCCAAAGCCACACTATAGTTTCAAGGACCTTCCATCAGGAGCAAATGATAGTTTTCTATAAGCCACCCAAGCAATCAATGCTCAAAGCTCCAACTCCAAAATCCAATCACAAAACAATGTGCAATTCTTTTACCAATTTCTTTTACATCCATCTACAGATTTCAATGTTGCTGGTAACCCTGGGGCTTAACAGTGCGTAGAAATCGTAGGAAGGGTGCTGAAGTCAACAGAGAATATTTAGTATCAATTACCCCAAACCCAGAAGAACCTCATCATGAAATAATAATATATTGTTCTCTGCCCCTGGTTTCTGCTATTACGTGGTCTGCTAACACAGTGCTAAGCTCCTAAAACTCTTGTGATCTGAGTGACAGGGCTGGCAGAGACATCTTTTGCTCCGGTGTTTGGTCTCTGACACTCGTTCCGAACACAGAGCTCCTAAACCACTGGAATTTTCTGGGTGACACGAGGTGTTCCAGTGAGGTGACTCTGCGTGGACTCCTGCAGGGGGCTAGTCATCAGGCCAAGCGTGATCAGAAGCTTGAAACTTGCAACCTCACCCCCTCTTCTCCCGAGACAGGAGATGGGCTAGAGCTCGAGTAATCGATCCTGCCTACGTGGCGAAGCCTCCACAAAGATGCCTAGAGTTCAGAGAGCTTCCGGGCTAGTGAACACACACGTGCAGAGAAGATGGAGCTAACTCTACAGAAGCTCCTGGACCTCGCCCTGGGCACCACTCCATCTGGCTCGATCTCCACAGCCTTTAGTACAGAATAAACCAGTAAATGTGAGCAAGCGTGTCCCTGAGTTCTGTGAGCCATTCTGGGAAATTATAGACCTGAAGGAGGGTGTCACGGAAACAATGATTTATAGCCGTCAGTCAGAAGTACAGGTGACAAGCTGGGCCCTGCAATTAGTGTCTGCAGTGGGGGCAGTCTTAATTGCCTACTTGACCTTTAGGATCTGATAACTCCAGGTAGACAGTGTCGGAATGAACTGAACTGCGGGACATCCAGCCGGTGTCGAACAATTGTTTGGTGACGGGGAAAATAACTCACGCCTGATGTCAGCAGTGTTTTGTGACGAGAAGAAATAGAGTTTCTTTTTCACTCATTCATTAGAAAATCAGATGACATACCATTTGCCTGAGCATTTTCTCTTTGCGAGCTTCTCGATCCTGGCGTAGAATAGACATTCTTTCAGCTGCGTCCATGACAAAGAATATGTCGTGAATTCCATACAGGGCAGCTCGCAACTAGGTTCAAAAGAAGAAAATATTGTACCCATTGAAAAAACTGAGGTCAGCGTTCAGTAATATTACATACACTTTTAATTAGAGAAAGAGGTTAAAGCTCTAATTGAAATGTACTTTCAGGGATTAAGTAAGAGAAAGAAAACTTTTCCGCTTCCCAAAGCCTTCGGGACCTGGCGTTTACCTGAGCCAACACTCTCTCCTGAAGAGAAGCATCTTGTGCCGAAACGACCCCTCTCTTTAATGGTGCTTCTGACTGAAAACTTCTTATGAATTCCATAGTGTCCTGAAAGAAAAAATGCTCCGTCAGAAACTGCGTTTCTAGGAGGATTCATGATCACTGGAGTTCCTTTCTGTTCTTTTTCTCAGTCAATCCAAAAATTACTAAGAACACAAAACTATTACTTATCAGGAGTCAAACAGCTCTCACTTTAAAGTGAGATGAAAATACACAAACTACTTCATTTACATATTTTAAAGAATTATCTGGATCAGATTAATAACCAGATTTCTAAAACTGCCTATGATAACTAAAAAGTGTTTGATCTAAGTTCTGAACTAATTTGTCTCTAACATGAACATGAACTCAGCTATAACAAAGAGACTGATAGAAACTAAGAAGTGAAATGAAAATGATTTTCAACAATCTTACTTTTACAGTTTGTCGAAGTTGCTTCAGTTTATCTGTCTGCATAAGCCTACGAGTAAGAAAACCTTTTGCCACAGCCGTTACTTTATTAAATTTTGTTTGTATTTCCGGACTGAAAACCTAGAAGAAACAAGATAGACATAATGTTTTCAGAATCTCAGAATTACATCGGGATTGTTTTTCAGAATCTATTACAAGGAACTAAGTTCTTCTACACATGTATGCTCTGCGTAGTTTCATCTTTAATAAAAGCTAATAAGCTACTTGATGTTTGGCAAAAATATTCACGCTCATTTGTGCAACCTAAGATAAAGTAGCTCTTAAAAATACAGAAAGAGTCTATGACCATGCTACCCTGAACAAGCCTGACTCCTTCTGATCTCGGAAGCTAAGCAAGGTCGGGCCTGGTTAGTTCTTGGATGGGAGACCATCTAGGAAGACCAGGTGCTGTAGGCATAAAAAATAAAAAAATAAAAAAGTAAGGGAGTGTAAGCTGATAAGGTCCTTGCAATCTGTGAGGTCAACCAAGGGTTGCCTCGCCTAAAGAAACAAACAAATAAAAATATAGAAAGATAGCTAGATAGCTAAAGAGACAGAAAATAGACATATATATGTTATATTATCATTACACTTGCCCACCTGAGACCACTTAGTTATGGCCCTTCCAAAAGGCCTTGTTACTGAGAGTTTGGTCAGGCCACTAGCTGATGATCCCCAGAGGTAGAACGGTGCTTCATTTATAGAACCAAAGCTGTGTTGTAGGGCAGAATTTGTGAAACCTAGAGAAATATATACAATCTAATATTATACTTGATGCCATACAATCAGAATACGCCCAACACCCAGACACTTCTGACAATCATTAATAACAACAACTGCCTCTGAAACTGATCTACATGCAGACTTAAAATATTTATGGACTTTAAGCTTATGCACCAGATGGATCTTTTCAACACAAACAGCATCTCAGGATGATCGACGATGTGCAGATGAGCTTCCTGGGACTGAGGAATTAGATGCAGTAATTCAAGAGCACTCTGGAGACAGCAAACTGCGTTTTCACTTGAAGCTTACCACCTGCGGCATGAAGGAACAAAGCCCGGACTCTGACGAGCCAGGTTTCCTGATATTTTCCTTGCTAACGTGGCTTTTCTCCTGAACACCTGCTCACCGTCTTTGATCTGCTGCCATCTAATTTCTCACTGCTCACTAAGCAGGTGGCAAACAGCAGTGGGTTGGACATGGAATTACTTGAAGGAAAAAGCTACGATCTTAAAGTGTGCCCAATAAAATACCCTACTATAGGATAATTTTTTCCAAATGGAAGAGGATTTCTAAATACCTACCAGACCCATGAGAATGTGAAGCCTGGAGCGAGTCTACGTGAGACAGCACTGTCTCCAGCACGCCGGAGCCGCTCACTCGTCTCCACTCCAAGCCCATCGCACTGGTGAGACCCAGCTCGGAGGCTTCTGCTGCCATCAGCTTCTTCTCTTTGAACGTTTTCTCCTGCTCTTCTATTTCCTAGAGATTAACAGTTTAGGATAACAAAATATGGTAGATATTTGGTTAAATCGTATCCCAAAACAGCATCATTTTAGGCTTAGCTAAAAGTCCATATAGTTATCAGCAAATTATTTCAAGTTTTCCTCCCTCAAATAAAATCGACAATTTAGTCGATTTTAAAATGTGCTACATTAACAATAATCTCGCAGAATGCGTATTTCAGCATCTAATTATAAAACAGCTTTTAAAAATATACACTTTTGAATTAAGGATTCAATAAAGTATTCTTTTGGTAAATTCTACATTATTTTTAGATAAAGAATCTGAGTATCAAACCTCACATTCTGGCAATAAAAACACTATCCATGTATCAAAATCGATGACCCCTTAGGTTAAGGTATATGAGGGGGATCGCAAGTGTCCCGGGAACAACCAAGAGTCACAAGCCCCCCTCCCAGCCGGAGCCCGCGGACCAGCCCCACAGGCCACGCCCTCCGGGCTCACCTTCTGCAGCTGCTCCTGCTCCCTCTCCTGCTCAGCTACGAGCTGCGAGAGCTGCTGGGCGTGATGCTCCTCCAGCCTCTTCCGCATTTCTTCAAAAGCTAACATCTTGCTTTTTAACATCTCCTCCCCTTCTGAAAGGAAAGGCGTTCCCTCAGATTTAGAAAATGTCCAAGTCTGATACGTGATGTTTTACATCATCAACTTAAGTTATGCTTCTGATTCCAGAGAGTATCCCTGGATCTGACGTGATGTGATCCAGACACATCCAAGTCCCCACTGTGCCCCACGTTCTTTGCCACTCTTAGTTCGAGGTAGCAGATGAAGGCCTGCCTCTCGCCATCCCTCCCCACGCATCCGACAGATCCCGTTGGGATCGAACTGACGGAACCAACGCTATGTGTCCAGTCCAGGCTCTCCTTACTCCACTTAACTTGGGACAGGGGCCCCCCTCCCTAGAGCGGTGCCTCACGACAGCCCACAGCCGTCGGCCTTCTCTGGGTTTGGCCTTGGCTGAAGAAAACTGCTTCTCCCAAGTTCACGCTTGCATCGTATGTCCGCTCAACACTGCGGTACAAGGCTCAGTCCCTTCACCCCAACTTGGATCAGTGAAGGACCATTCACACTGCAGAGTACCCATAGGGGCAGCTGAGGTCTCGGCTGAGGCTAAGTCACAGCACAATTCACTCAGCCCATCCCCTCCTTCCGCAGGTGCTGGTCCCAAGAGCACATCCTCAGAAACGGCCCGCAGGCCCACCTCCAGGGTGGGCATCCTGGGAGACGACAATGACGACAGAAAGCTGTGGGCAGCTCTGGACACACTGCACTGCCTCCCGTGCCCACCTGGAGAGCTGCCAGCGCTGCCACCTGTTGATTTGGGGTACACCTGGGATTCACTGAGACAGCCTCTAGCCACGTTATGTGGTTTACCCGGAGAACACAAGTTAGCTTCTCAGGTTATCAACTGCTGCTTTTATTAGAGAGTTATTACCTTGCACAGGTTTTAAAAAGTCTGCCCCGACCCTGTTTTTCCTATAAACTCTGTTCTTTTTTCATGTGTAATTTTACAGAATGTGAAGTTTTTTTCAGGAAGGTATATACTCGTTTAGAGCTGAAATGTCAATGTCTAAGAACTGAACTTACTTAATGTCTTCCATATCAGTGAAGAATTGTGAATCGTGACAACTAAGTAAGGAGTAGTGAAGACATGTTTTAACAAGTTGTTATTAATCCAACACTAGATGCAACAGAAATTTGAAATCATTTCTATCAATAAAAACACTGTTTTTGAAACACTACTCACAGAGCCTTATCTGTGATATTTTCTCTAATAATTGGATGTTAAAGTGTTTACCGAAGGGCCAACTACACGAAGATCTCGTCCCAAATGAAAGGACCAACTGATGAAAATACTGAAAACCGTAATCCAAAAGGAAGACATCAGAGTAACGCACTGGATTAGAACAATGAGTGATGTTTTGTGCCACGACTTTTTTCCCCAGTCATAATAATCTTCTCTATAACACCCGGTGGAGTGTGAAAGATTCATCATTTCAATTAAAAAGTCCTTTAAGAAAACCTATCAAATGGCAATAAAAATCTATCAAATGGCAATAAACTGTAGCAAAATATTATATGCTCTCTGATAAATGAAGTACTCTAATGAACAGATGAAAACAATTATGATTATTATTTTGCAAAATGTCAATTAAAAGCATTAAATAAAAGTACCATCTGCTTGGCAGTATCCAACACTCCGGTTTTCCTTACCTTTGGAACTACTTTCTAAAAAGTGATTCTTGCTGATGCAGACGGATCCTACGGGGTATCTTCTTTCTGGCAAAGGTTGCCTCTCCTGGTCACCTACCACAGCCCTCGTGACATAAGGGCAGTTTTCTTTTTGCAGACCATCAATGTCTAAATCGAGTCTCCGTTTAACTTTTTCGAAACTGTTATCCAAAAACCGCTCATTCCCACAGGACACCGTAGGGGTGTCCATCTGCTCGCCAGTATTCGGATTCTGCATCAGTAAGGGAGACGGGTTTTTTACATCATAAGACTTATTCAGTTCCATTTGTAAACTGCAGTTTTTCTCTGACATGCTGGCTGACTTGAGTCCACTCAGGGTTCCGAAGTTTTGAGTCGCTACACACGGACCGGTGGCACACGGCTCATGTGACCTTGGCACTGTACTACACCGACCGTCCAGTGTGTGTGGTCCTCCCGCATCAGATGGTAACTGGCCTTCCACCACAGCAAGGCCATGAATAACTTCCTTTTCTAATTGATTTCCTGAAGACTGACATACCTGATTTGATTTACCTAAAACCATTTCCTGTATGGCTTCGGATGTATTCTTGCCGACATAAACCTTGCTTGAACAAACTCTTGTTAAATCAATTGGTAACTTTGGCACAGTTTCAGAGACATTTGTTTCTTCATCAGCATCTTGAACGGCTAAGTCTACTGCTTGTTCTTTTCCCTTAGGACTTAATTCACAGGCATTTACTGGGTTATTTATAAGTATATGACATGCTGATGACGGCCTAGAACGCCTTCGATGCATTTTAGGACTCAGGCTTGGCTCTGGACTAGGTAATTTGGCATATGAATTGGTAAGACTTTTGATCACATTGTTTTCAGTAACAAAAGTGGGAATGACTTTAAAATCAGAATCAGGATCTGAAACAGTGGGATAGCCAGTACCTGCAGGAATGTCCACGTTAGAAAAGCTACCTAAAACCACTGTGTTCGTGCTGCTTGCTTGAGTGGAAGCACCTTGGAGAAGAACATTGGACTTGTTAAGGCTTGGTTTGTCAGGAATGACTGGACCGCAGGGTCTGCCCGTCGGCGGGGCCTCCTCCTTCACACACGCCGCCGTCACTCGACCAGCATCGTTTTCTTTGTCTGAATGACTCTCGTTAACACTCCTCTTCGCACTACTTCTCAGACTGCGTCTAGAATGTTCTCTTTCTATATATTCCTTTGACTTTTTCATCAGGTTCTGAAGACTCATTATGTAGGGATCTGAAGTAACTTCTTCTAAAAGTGACGGATCCTGTTTTTCACTTTGTGGGAAGAGACCATCAGAAATAAGAGTCTCCTCGGCAGCTGCTGAGGAGGACTTTAGAGAAGCTTCATTTGCCATGTGGCTCATATTTGAACTGTCACATTGCTTCAGAGAATTAAATTCTTCTGAGTCCCTCGTTAGGTCTATCCCATTAGATTTAAATTGGTCCTCAGTATCCAGTGGCAAAATTCCAATTAACTTTTCAAACTCTGCGAAAGTAGAGTGTTCGGAAGGGCTTGGCAAGACGTTAGGAAATGTGGCGGGGACATCCAGGGTTCTGACTTCTGAATTGGAGTAAACTGTTTCAGTCTCCCACTGATCGAAATCACTGGTGTTAGGTGCTTTTCTAACCTGAAAAAAGAAAATTTTTTAATTAATACTTCCTCATTACACAAAAGCCTTTGATTTCACTGTTTTCTAAAACTGAAACTGAAGATTCAGACATCTAATATTTCAAAACACAAACAAACAAAAACTAAGATGACTTTTTCTATGGTATCCTATATCACATGGAGCTCAAATTACTATGAATAACATCTATTGGACACAACGGCCTGTTTGTTAAAATTTTTTTAAAAGGGAAATTATCTGATCTGATGCAAATATGGGCATATGTGCACGTGTATACACACACATATATTCATATGTCCACGTGCAATTTAATCTTGGAATAAAAGCATTTTCCGCTGGTTATATGTTATTAACGTCACCAACTGTTCCTCTTGTAAGAGCTGTCACCTAAGGACAATGACAGATAAGATAAACAGCAAGCACTTAAATATATTATATAAATGATTCCCTCTTAACAAAAACTAAGGTGCCCTGGATATTAAGGAAAAATAATTCCGTAATAAGACCCCTACCTCCCACACGCTTACTCCAAATTTTAACCAAAATCCTTTTGTATAATTAGGCAAATTTGTAGTAAATGATAGCTCAGCCATGTAAGCTTAGGTTACTTAAAAATAAGAAAAATTTCAACTTAAAACCCAATTTGTTAAACAAATTTCAATGTGATTAAATGACGATCATTTAAAACAGGAACCTGTTAATGAGTTTCAGAACAAGCGAAACAAGTAAAAAATTTGATAAATTAAGAGAATAACTGCATAACAAGAAAGCCAATAGAAAAAAAAAAACAATAAAATTACATTTGAATCTAAATAATTAGACTTCAAAAAAAATTAAAAGTAGTTCGAACTAAGATGGTTTCTAAAGATTATACAAGCATATATTAAACTGGCAGAAATTATTATCATATGAATATAGACTCCAGAATCTTGAATATTAAAAGATTTCTAGGTTGTTTTCTACATGGTTCTTCCTAGGCCATATGGCACTCCTGGTTTGCCTTACAAATCCCAAGACATGTAATGGTTTCCAGGTACTATGCAATAAACAGTACAAGGTGTACTCGGTCACAACCTCGGGACCAAAAGAAAACAAAAGGAATACATATTTGCAAAATCCACAAACATAGTCATAAGTTTAATTAAAACAAATTATTCCCTTAAAATATCTCACATGTCACATTTGTGATATTCAGCAGCTATGTTTTTTGCACAGCACTAATATGAGCCTTTGGTTAAATGATTTAAATAACAATGAGAAAGATCTATCATAGAATCCTAGGTTTTACAGATGAAACCGACCTTAGAAATCTATTTTTAATACGTAAAATTTCTCTACCTGCCTAATTAATTCATTACTCTACAGTAATTTAGATTCATTGTACATGCTCTATTAAACAGAGAAAGTTTTCAGACTCAACAATAATCTCATTAGTAATATATTTGATATACCAAAAATGATATGCCATTTTTGTTTCAATAATAAAAAGATTTAGTAATTCAAAAACCCACCCTTATTGTGCTACACGTTATATTTTTTAAATTTAGTATGAGCAGTAATTATAACCCACAAATTAAAATCTACTACGTACAGAGAAATGAGAGTAGCAGTTAATGGGAAATATTCTAAGGTTTGCTGTACATGTGTCATCTAGTAGGAATTACCTACATCTAGTAGGAATTACAAACCACAAATCCCTAAAATTAAAAAAAAATAAAAAGATATAACCAACAAAACAGTGCTATATGTGACAGATTATCTGTTCAATCAAATTTTTTTTCTTGTTGGTATGAAATGATCCAGACCTTAAAACAAATTGTTTATACAATTTTAAATTAAGCTAAATAAAAACAATTACAAAAGGCACGGACGTATAGTTTAAATGGTTTTAATATGGATCTAAGATGCATTTAGGCAATTCTATTTATTTAAGTTAAATTGCATTTACAAAGAGCATTTTCACCAAAAAAAAAATGGAAGCAGTTATTTATGATCACAGAGAATGAGAATAAAGTCACTGAGTCCACAGTCTGATTAGTTCAGAGGTGAACTACAATGGCCAATTCTATCATTTTGTCACTGAGAATTCAATGTTTTTAGAGTCATGAGACACAGACAATGAGCAACTACATTCAGTGTATGGCTCCATTGTCTCAGTACCCTCTGACTCAAGTACTGGGCACCACTAACGAGCAAGTGCATTTTCTTTGGAGTAACTGAAATGAAACATCGCAAATTATGAAGCTTCTCAAACAGAACGGTAAAGCATACTGCTAATTAACTAATAAGTGCAAATATGTTTCTAAAAAATTATCATCAATGCTCACCTCATGATTTCATAATTATAATTGAAAACAGCTTGAATTACATACCTGAACATTTTCAATAATCTCCTGGACTCGAGTCAGTAAAGCGTTCTTCCTGTTAACCTGCTTTCTCGCTTCCACTTCAAGCGCTTTCTGCTTTTCTTGCTGCATTTCCTTTCTTTTCTCAATGTTAAGCTGCGAAATGTCATAAATGTGTAATTGCTTCTCATAAACATACAAATAGCATAATAGTCAGAATCATTAAAAGTATAGAGAGAGCATAACAGCAGCTGGGGGTAATGACTGGGAGGGGGCAGGGGAGACCTGGCGGAGGTGATGAAAATGTTCTGTGTGGGTATAAGTTACACGAGTGTGTGCCATGTGTCTAAACGTATGAGACGCTTCAGATCTGTGCATTTTACTGTGTGAAATTATTCTCAACCGAAAAAAAAGGTTAAGAGAAAAAAAAACTGTTCGTTTATCGAATGCTCTAAAATGAGAGACAAAATTAGCCCTTTTGGCCACTGAGCTTTTCATTTGCCAATGTCGTACTTCACTGAGTCAGCGAGATTCTTCGATTTCTCATCAGTGTATGTTTTACCTCTTTGCTACCTCAAGAAAATGTCCAAAGGTTAAACGATAAAAGAAACATAATGTTTTACCTACAAAATCAGAACACATATTTGGTTCCACTTCAATCAAAATATAATGCACCTAAAAAAACCAAACTCTTCTAAGCATTATATTTTTTTACGATGGATTTAAATCTTAATTATTAAGTCCTGGGAAGTTTAGTCACTGTATTAAGGAGTCAAGATTTATCTTAGACTTATACAAATGGAAGCATGTCATAAAAAATAATTTGAAAGGTGCAATATTCTTCCATCAAATACAACATAAAAACATGGATTAACATCTATAAACATAGGATTTGGCTTATAAAGAAGTAACTGATGGAGTTATAGACCCTAAGCTATAAGGCTCAGAAATTTTGGTCAATATTAAACTAATCAAGCAATATGTCATCAAATAGTTGATTAAAATCTTGTTTTAAATTTTTTTCTTATTTGCATGGTACCAAAGAATCATTCCACAGTTTACTTGCTAATAAATAAGGGGGAAAAATATATATACCTTTAAAGAGTCATCTGGCAGTCACCGCTGTAAAAATAAGTGTTCAAACTAAACATCAAAATAGAGGAACAACTAGACATTAAGTAATTTTTGACTTAATTTACTATGAAGCACACGTCATCATCTCCAAAAAATTCTTGCCAGGCTAAATGTTTAACCTGACTCTAATCAAACTTTTAGACTTAATTTCCAGTGTAAAAAAACTTGAAGTACCAGTGGACAAGTTAAATATCACCATACAGGAAACAATTAGACAAAACTAAAACGTAAGGCACTCTATGAGACTGGTTTGGTCTCTTAAAATATTTCACTACCATAAAAAAAAAAAAAATAACTTTTTTTAAGAGGTAGAAGAACTGTTCCAGATCAAAGAGACTAAAAAACTATAACAAGCAAATACTATGTGTGAACTTTGACTGGATCCGGAGTAGAGAGAAAAAAAATGTTACAAAAGACATTTTGAGCAGAAATTGAGAAATATGAACAGAATATTAGATGCTACTAAAATTATCATTGTCTTAAGGTGTGGTAATGGTATTGGAGTTTTCAGTAGAATATCCTTAATTTTGAAATAAGTATACCAAAATATTCGGGGGAAAGGTGTTGTGTATCTGGAATTTTCAAATGGCTCAGCAATAAAACAAGACGAGTAGGTAAATATATACACACGCATATATAAAATCATAAACACCATAAAGCAAAGATGGCAAAAACGTAAAAAACTGTTGAATCTAACTAGTAGATATATGCGTGGTCACACTATCCTTTCAACTTTTCTGCATGTTTGAAAATTTCATTACAAAAAGTTGGCAGAAAATATTGATCTTTTAACTTGTTATATTAAAAAAATTAACGCTCTTTCAATCATATTAATTTTCTGATTTGAAATAAAATCGCACATATTTAAAAAATATTCAAATGGTATCAAAGGGTATACGATAAAAATTGTGGCTTCCCTCATACTATATCCCCTTACCCCTTCCCAGAGAAACAGTACGATATTCCTATTTAAAAATCCAAATAGTTAACGGATACTGAACACCTCCCATGATCTAGGTAGTTTTGTAAACATTTTCAATATATTAGTTCATTTAATCCTCAAAATAGCCCTATGAGGTAGGCATTGTTTTTATTCTAATTTAATAAATAAAGAAAATAGACCTGCAAGTTCATAGAGCAGATAAGTGGCAGAACAATGATTTGAACCCAGGCCAGCAGGAACCAGAGCTGGGCTTTTAGCCACTACCCCATCCAGCCTTGGAGAGCATGCTGTGTGCAGTGATTTATGGTATCTTGTGGAGACCCTTCCGTGCCCACATATCTAGGTCTACTGTTCTCATTTTAATGCCCTGTATGAGATTCTATAAAACGGACTAGTTAAACTAGTCCACTACTGTTAGACATGCAGGTTGGTCAAGCTTTTGCTATTTTAAACAGTGTTACTATATAACCTTATGAATATTTCTTTGGGCACATAGATATAATCGTTAAGATATTCCCCAAAATGGAATTGCTGAGTCAAAGGTTATGTACACTTTCAAATTCTGATAAACACTACCAAAATGCTCACCAAAAAATAAAATCAACGGATTCTCTCAATAAAAGGGCATTATAAGTGCCTTTCCCCCATAACCTAAGGAACGCCAAATCCTATCAGATCTTTGCCAAGTAGGTAAAAAAAAAAAGCTAACGCATTTGTATTTCTTTCATTATAAATAATCTAAGCATCTTTTTGATGTTTATAACTCTTTTTTTTTGTTTGTTTTTCTGTGAACTGCCTTTGTGGTTCACTATAGAAAAAAACGGTTATTTACAAATCAGAGAACGTTTACCAGTGGAGACAGCACGGCCACTCCATGGAAGCGGATAAGTGAGATGCTTTCAGACTGAACAGGAAGAAAGCTCTCTGTGGATAGTGATGCTTCTTGGATTCTGGCGAGACTTTTCTCACGGAACTCCTCATATTCCTCCATCTTCCCACCACCGCACTACAAAAGAAAAATGGCATGTTGAATGTACTGAGAAAAACGGTTTATTTGGCAAATTTTATAGAGCACCAAAATATTCCTGGAATGCACAATTTCTAGAACTGATCTTTCACGGATCAGGAGCTAAATCTTGAGTATAAGGTAAGTCTAGGTCAAGATCCTACCCGGTTAAGGCTTGCTTCCTATGTTAAATGTTTCTAAACATTTGGATGTAAATCAATTTTTAAATGTGATTACTTTACAAAAGTATTAAGGACTCACTTACCAGTGAAACCTACTTAAAAGACGCAAAGTTTTATATGACTTTATAACTTTAGATTATAAAATAGAATACATTTTCATTAGCAAGACTTATATACACGGCACAATAAAAACTAAATTATATAAAGGCAGAAATGCTTTACTAGCCAAAAAAAAAAAGAGACAAAAAGGCTATTTATATAAAAGAGGATATTTACTTTTAAAAATTCTCTTTCTATCATGGAGTTCAAAGTCTATTACTTGCATATCTTAAAAATACATTATGACTCCATGGTCATTAGCCAAATAAGTCATCAGTGGAAAACAAAAAACTTATTGGCTCTAGTGATAATTCTATTTTATTATTGAAAACTGGAACCATTGTCAAACTACTTAAAATAATCAGCCCAGTAACTTCACAATTTCTGGAAAATTGTGATGGTGGCTATGAAAATACAAGGTAACCAGGAAGGATGAGCCACCATACTCATTCACCTAGCAAGCATTAAATATTTGATTGCTTGTTTCCATAGCACTATGTCTGGCTTTGTTTCCTTTAAATAAGCAAGGGAAAATAAAAAGGGAGACATCGTCAGATCATAACCAACAACGGAATGAACTGTGAAAACAGAAAAACCAATACATTAATGTTCCTTTCGGTGTTCCTTTTAAAACGATTAATTAACAAAAAAGACAGAGGGCAGGGAAATTCAATTCATGATTTAGGATATGCAAAGATGAAACAAGATAGAATTGATACTGTCCTAAGCCTCAGGTACTTAAAAATTCAGTACGCTAAAGTGTCAGGGACAAATTATAGCACTAGTAGAAATGAAGAAAAGGCATATTTGAAATTATGATTAGATTGACCAGCTGGTAGTCTTAATAACTTTGTCCTACCATCCCATCAACTCTAATTATTTCTATATTCAGTTTATGCAAAGTGAGAGTTTAATTTCAAAGAAATGGTTCTCTAGAGTATGAGATTATTTTGCAAACTTATATTCGTAAAAAAATAAAAGTAAAAAACAAAACACAGCACCTTACTGCATGATAACCATAGCAAGGCCTCAAGTTTCAGTCTAGATTTTCAACCCACATTATGATATCTTAACAACCAAAATATGCAGAAACTAAGATGTAAGAGAAATTCAAATGACCCCATTTCTACTAAAACAGTTCAAAATATTTTTAACACAAGCTAGCATCCAGCATTTCAGGGAACGTAAACAGATTATTCGTTAATCTATTTATATAATATACTAATTAATGTAATATACTTCCTGTGGCTAGACAAAGCATAATATTCTATTTTAAAGGTCTGCGAAACTTAAGGAAATAAAATATCTTTCTGGTAATGGTTTTATTTTCCTTTCAACATCAAATAGATATGCCTCATTGCTTCACAAAGTTAAATTCACATTCCTTAAACAGTACACGGATGTCATACGTATTATAGGTGTAGAGTGATTTATTATTACGTCATATCTTGTGGCATATGATATTGTACTAAACATCCAAATACAAGTGTTAATATGATGATTTTTGGAAATTACCAAATGATCCTTGAATATGACTGGATCCTTCTTATCCTTATTCCACCTAAATTAACCCTGCATCGGTCACTTCCACATTATACTGCTGCTTCCCAATTTCCATAGCACTTACCACTATCTGAAATTATCTTGTTTATTTCCTTGGTTTTTGTCTGTCTTCCTCCACCAAAACGTAAGCTCCATAAGCACAGGTACTTTCTCAGTCTCGCTCACCACTGAACCCCCATTACACAGAACAGCATCGGCACTCAGGAGCACTTGAGGAAAGAACTGAATAAATAAGTCAGGGTAATTAGCTCAAACAATAATGTAAACCAGAAAAAGAGAAGACGAGTGGACTACACAGCAAAGAAGCAAGCAAGGAAAAATGGATTTAGAGAATGGAGTTTCAACGGATGACGCTGTTCTCAAGGAAACTGGCACCTCTAAACTGCAAAGGCAACCACTTAAAAAAGTGAGCATCTGTACCCTGTATGATTAAGCAAAGGCACTTCCGTTCTCACAATGCAATTATGTGTCAGCAGCATTTTATTTTAAGGGAACCCTGACTACGAGGCCACTCCAACCACAAATCTACTGCCCCATAACTTTACCATCAAGAATTACTGGTCCACTTGAGTTATTAATTTGTCAGCTGCATCAAGTTCAGACAGGCCTTGCCTTCACCATTTATACCATGACCCTTCTCCAAATAAGCCTCTTTGCAAACCCCATAGACGTGTGGCCCTTGCTACCTGCTCCTCACCAGTGCTCTACCAGAAACGTCACTGAAGGGAATGGTAAAAGTAACACAGATCTTGCCTTGTTTTTAGGTTCTAGCTGGTTGTTTACCTATCAGTCCTCCCAAAGGTATAAACTTGTAGAGGCAATAAAGGGGAGGTTTCTAATTCAGGCAGGTACCAGCCGTAAGTTCTTGGCAATTCACTTACCATCTCTACGCCTCAGTCTCCTCATCTGTAAAACAGGGACAATCTCATCTGTCTCAAAGAGATTCTCTGAGGATTCAATGACCTAATACACGTATGGCAATTAGTGTACTGCAGGACATGCAGAAAGCATCAATAAATGGGGGCTGCTTTTATTTTGCAGATGATGATGATGATGATGATGATGATGGTGGTGATGATTTTTATCACTAGATTATGAACTCCTGGAGGGCAGTGATAGTGCTTGGTTCCTGGTAAGATTCAAACGTAACTTAAAAACATGGGAAGGGGGACAAACAGCTTCCTCGTTTCTCTCTTTCCAGACCCCTCCCCACTGAATCAATCTCTAGCATCTGCAATTGCCTAAATGGGGAGGTTGGGAAATCGAATGAAAACCAGATAGAAGCAGAGCGGGAACCAGCTAGCAGCATCGGGGGCCATGAAGACAATTTATTATCCTCGTGCTTCTACCCCAGAGTCGCAGAGGCAGAGTAAACAGCGCTGCTAGAGCCTCTGGCTGTAGTAACCCGCGTTCAGAAATGGACAGTGCACACCCAGGGGTCGCCTCCCTCGCCAGCATCGTGGCCCAGTTTTATTAATAGGAGGTGGAGACCCTCCGCCCTCACCCCAGCGCCCCACGCCCACCTCCCCCCGCTCCTCCGATCAGGCTCCATCTCCAGGGCCCCGGGGCGTTGCCGCCACCCGAGCATCACCTCCGCTCCAGGTACAGCCAACCCCGGGGCCCCAGCCGCCCCACATCCGCGCCTTTCCAGGGACTCGAGAGCAGGGAGCCCAGCACCGGCGCTCGGGGTCCGTACCGAGCCCGCCCTCAGCTCCTCAGGGCGCCAGATCCGCCTCGCCCGGTGGCCTCGCCGCCAGGACCCTCTAAGTCAAGCCCCCTCCTCATGCACACACCCGATCTCCCACGGCCGCGTCAGCCTTCCTCCGCTCACCACCGGCCTTGTCAGGAAGCAAACGGCTCAACTGGTACCGACAGAGAGTAGCTCCGTCCACCGCCGCCGCCGCCTCCTCCTCCCCGCCATATTACGGGTCTCCGGCGGCAACGCGGGATCCTGGCAACGGCTGCCGCCGCCACCGCCCAGACTCCACCTCCCAGGGCCGGCACTTCCGGCCGTTGCTCCCCGGGCGGTTGAAACGGTTAGGCCACCAGAAAACTACAATACCCGAGGTGCATTGCGCGCTTGGGTGCGCGCGATGAACGTCGTAGTACTTACGCAAGACGCGGTGCACGCCGGGAAACAGTCTTGACGGCAAGCTTGCCCATCTGCCGTTGTAACTTACCAGAGTAGGAACGTTCCCCAGGTCTGAAGCCCCCTGAAACGTTCTTCGAAGTTGCTATTTTTTACCCATCTGCAGAATGATAACCTCTCTTTTCTGGCTACTGGAAAACATACGACATTCACCAATTTTTTTCTCTGTAAATAAAGTATTGCAGAATCCTAGATGCCAACTCTACGTCTTAAGGCATCCCTTACCCGTTTGCAAATCAGTGGGAAAATACGTCCGAGAAAGAAAAGTTCGAAATGGCAGGAAAATCCCCGAATATTTTTCCAAAGTTCTCTATGTAAACATGTTACCAGTTTTCCAAACTATGATGTAGGTGCCCCTTTCGTTTCCTAACTTGGCTTTTACCTTCTGCCTCTCTTACTCATCCTCCTTCCCGTGCCTATTTTTTGCATATGTAAAATGAGTTTTAAAAGTGACTGTCACAAGGGTGGTTATGAGGAAGAGCAGATAATTCTCTCACAGTTCCTGGCTCATAAGTCCCACTATTAGCCCTTAGCAGGTGGAAAAGCAGCACATCTTGACTCGAACTGACTAAATAGTCTAAGCGTCCTGCCCCTTCGAGGCTCCCTAGGCAGTGTCCTCGGGGGCAGAATGAAGGAGTCACTGAGACCCCTTCCAGTCGTACAACCGTACAGGGCTATCGTATCCCTCCCCTTCGTAGTCCGAAAGCCCAGGTGGAAGTCAAGACCCCAGGAGTAACCCGAAAGCCCCCTTTGGAACGCGAGCCTAGGCCTGGGCCCGCCTCTGTTGCCATGCCAGTGGCTCCGCCCCCGCCCCCGATCTCCGGAGATCTTCGGCCCTGATTGGCTGGACGGCCGGATCTCTCCCCGGATGTGGCCCCCGCCACCGCCATTGTGCGGCTGTGCTGTCCACCGAGGGTCCCCCTGCGGCGAGTGCTTTGGATTCTCGCCCTCGCTTCTCGATCTCCTGTCCCGGGAGCCCGGCGGGTCCGGGACTCCCGTCCGTGCCGGTGCGGGCGCCGGCATGTGGCTGTGGGAGGAACAGGGGGGCCTCATGGGCCCCTTCTCCTTCCTGCTGCTGTTGGTGCTTCTGGTGACACGCAGCCCCTTCAGTGCCTGCCTCTTCACCGGCAGCTTCTACCTCCTGCTGCGCCTCTTCAGCTTTGAGCCTGTGCCCACCTGCAGGGCCCTACAGGTGCTCAAGCCCCGCGACCGCGTTACCGTCATCGCCCACCGCGGCGGCAGCCACGACGCACCCGAGAACACACTGGCGGCCATTCGGCAGGTGAGCCCCCCATGCCTCGCGCCCCCCGCCCCTCCTGGGAGCTTGGACTTCTGCCCGTCCTTCCGAAGGTTCCCCAGTCTTCTTGTAGTAGCCTTCCTTCCTAGAACCCCCCAAAAGATATTCACAGAGCTTGCATTGGAGTGGGGGAGACAGGCCTTAAACAAATAAACACATAAATGAGACACTTTGGGATAATGGAAAGCGCAATGAAGAAATGGGGTAATGGAATAAGGAATGACTGGAGGGGGGAATTATGTATGCTATTTTAGGTAATCAGAGGAATCCTCTCGAAGAGAAGAACTTTTGAACTGAAACCGGGATGGTGAGAAAGACCCAGATATGGATCTGAAAGGGAGGTGGGGGGTGGGGGGCGGGAAAGCGTCCCAGGAAAAGAGAACAGCAAGCGCAAATGCCCTGGGGTTAACGATGTTGGAATGTTTGGGTAACAGAATAGGCAGTATGTGGCCCGACTCAAGGGAACAGAACAAAGGCTAGTGTGTGAATACAGTAAGAGATGTGGCCAGGTTGAGTAGAATCTTGGTCCGTGGTTGAATTTATTCTAAATGGGTCACCTTCACAGGAGCCATTTTACTTGTCCTCCAAATTGTCCAAGTCATTTCCTTGTCACATACCCCCCCAAAAACACACACATTCAGGCTCAGACAACCCTGTTTGCTTGACTCTTAATCAGTTTCTGCCTCCCCTTTTGACAAGGCTCTCCTGGCAGTCTCCTGACTTGGTAATAATGACAGCAGGCATAGTGAGAGAGCTTTTCAGTTGTCTATGCACTTTTGGATCTGTGGGTATAGATCTGAACCTCTCATTTCTTTGAGACGTTATTTTAACACTGAACGGGTAGGAAGGCAGACTCAAACACGTGGCTCCTTCTAAAATTTAGCCTTCTGATTCTAAGTCCCAGTGCAGTGGGTCGTAGATTAGAATATGTTCCGGGATGTAAAAACTTGGACTGACTGTCCTTTGTTTGTCCAGCTGAAAACACAAAGTATTGTGTAATGAGCAAGTTACTTAAGCTGTCTATGTCCCAATAAGAGTCATGACCAGGGTGTGGCAGGCAAGGCATCCTAGGACACCTCTCTTCACGCTAGTCTCAGCCTTGACCTCAGTTTCCCCATCTGTACGATGGGAATAACATTGGTATCCACCTAGCAGGTTGCGATTCAGTGAGGTAGTCCACGTGAAGTGCTTGGCCCGTGACAAGATCTCCACTAATGTAAGCTCTTTAGGCCAAGAATCTAAAGATGGCTTGATTCTTTAAAATTATCTCAATGTGCAGATAACAAAATTAAGTCCGAAGAAGGAGGGGGATCTGGAAGGCAGCCTTTAATTTAGTGGAAGGCACTCGACTCTGTGTTTATAAAGCATGTTAAACTTCCCTTCTGCTTCTTTCTCTGTGGTTCTTTGTGATGAAAGACAGCAGTTCTTGCAGATTTCTGTTTAAAAAGAAATCTAAAGATCGAGAGGTCTGATGAAGTGATACAGCTACACAGGAGATAGCACTGCATGAAAAGAAAGGTGATAATTACTGTAGGAACAAAAGAACACAATTGTCATTGGCTTGCATTTCAACTTACCTTTAGGTAAGTTGCCTTAAAGTATAACGCAGTGTTAATTGAGCACAGAAGGTATTTATGAGTATTTACCCGTGGATGTGGTGGTTTGGCCAGAACATGTTTGAATATAAAATAAAGAAGAATGTATGCGAAATACACGTACACGTGTAGTGTTTCATATCCCGTTGTGTTGCAAGGGAATTACAGCTAAATTCCATTTGTGTCATGTATATTTAGGTCGAACACATCTGTTACATATGTAATGATGATAAATAAACATTGTGCCAAGTTGATTCCTGGTCTAAAGAGGAAATGAGATGTGGTAACTCTACCAGTTCGATTAAGGTTATTATCAATAAACTTTTTAGCCAAAACAGAATTACCTGCTGAGCACAGTCTGCAGAAGACAAGGTCGCTCCCTCCCTCTTAACTTCAAAAGAAATGTATAGTTTATTTCCATCGAAGTTCGTTTTCTGTCCTATTCTTCCTCCCTTTGCATGTTTGCATCTTGTAATTTATATTCTTAAACATTTTACTATGTAAAAAATCAGAGAGGATGTTTTGACACTAGAAGAATCTCTGGCAGGTTATGTAATAGATATAGAAGGAAAAATCTGAGCGGTGAAATGAATGTATTCCAAAAGCGTACACGACACTAAACAGTGACAAAAGAAGTTATGCCTACAGTCTATTCCCCGCACAGGGGCTTGGCGTTTTGCTTATGGGGAGCGGGGTGGAGTTACACCAACAAAAACCTGACTCATCTTGTTTATGCCAAAACAGCGCAATATCCGACTAATCAGCAAACACAGGGGACTTCTCTGAGATGCTGTACCAAACAATATAGGTAAACAGTGGAATTTGTCTAAATACATATAATTGTAAGCCATTAATGTCCAGAGAAAACTTAAGTTCCAGAAGTCTCCCCAACTGCCACTGCGAGAGTGGAAGGAGTGATTGAAGTTTTTGAGGAATCCCTAAGTGTGGAAGTTGCAGTACAGTTAACATCCACAAAAAACACAAGTCTGGTTGCTGTTTGTTCCAGAAAAGGCAAGAAATTGGTACGAGCAGCTGTCAACCTACCCAGCCCTATTGGTCATCCAGAGTGTTTAGATTGCAACGTGACATCTGTGGCCACTTGACATTAATATTGTTGATGTTTTTGTTAAGGCAGCTAAGAATGGAGCAACAGGCGTGGAGTTAGACATTGAGTTTACTGCTGACGGGGTCCCTGTCTTAATGCACGATAACACGGTAGATAGGACGACGGATGGCACTGGTCGATTGTGTGATTTGACATTTGAACAAATTAGGAAGCTTAATCCTGCAGCAAATCACAGATTAAGGTAAGTGGTTTATTGTCACTTAAACATACCTTCAGCTTTTGTTGGAGATCACGGGGAGACACTGGAGACTTGTTTTGTTGTGTTTTGTTTTGAACTGTATACATGTTTCCTAAGTAATAAGCCAGGAACAACAGAAATATGGCATGGATTTTTTTCATCTCTTCCCACTGAGGCCAGATTTGGCCTCAGAATGATTCTCAAGACAATACTCTGTCTAGTCACTATCCTGACAATTTGTACTGTCATATAAATTTTACGTATATATAAATAAATATGTGTGTGTGTGTGTATAATCCTATAAGATATTCCCCAAAAAAAAGGGTACTATAATTAAAAAAATCAAACACTATATTCTAAATCTTCCCCTTGGGGAATAAATAATTATATCAGTCAATTCTTACCTTTAATGTAGTGTATATTAAATGTATATGACCACAGACCCCACACCCTTCCCACCATTAACAGCTATAAACCCCTTGGAATTGGTGTACTGGGCTATAATATACTTTGGAATGTGGTTATTTACATTCCTCTCCTCTTGTCTTCTTTGAAATACTGAAAAATGTGGTCACTGTTATCATGTCCTGTCAGTTCTCTGGACAATGATGACGACTCCTCGAGTGCTGAGCATTCCACCCAGTGATTAGTTATAGTCCTCCCTAAAGGATGATTCTGACTTTATTTTCCTAGGATCTGAAAGAAGTGAAAAGTCAGCCAAGGGAAATCGTATTTTAGAAAGAATATTGATAACACTTGCAAATTTGGAGTCCAGGCTGCAGGAATTAACTCTTTACTGTCACCAGATAGTTCATCGCTCTGTCGTATGCGAGGGAAAGGCCAGTTTTAACGTTAATGTTGCACATAAGATGTCCGGTTCATAATCAACATTTAATGCAAAAAATGCTTAGGGTCAATCGTATTTTAGAAAGAATATTGATAACACTTGCAAGTTTGGAGTCCAGGCTGCAAGAATTAACTCTTTACTGTCACCAGATCGTTCATCGCTCTGTCGTATGCGAGGGAAAGGCCGGTTTTAACGTTACAATGATGTTGCACATAAGATGTCAGGTCCATAATCAGCATTTAATGCAAAAAGTGCTTAGGGTCCGCATCGCCCTTAAAATCCTTTAAGATGGCATGATATCAGAGTCAATATAGCTTCTTTATGTCTTTAAGGCAAACAGTGTTTTTATTTCACAATTGAAACAGGTTGCGTTTTCTTTGCTTGAACACCAAAGTAATCGGCTTGTGTTTAGGGACCATGTTGTAGGAAAAGTAGTTATTTTCTCTAGAATTTCCCAATGCGAAGAGGTGCTCTTCGTGAGAGGAGGCACAGACGCTAAGACTGGCCAAGGGAATAGCAAACTTACATCTCTTATCTCTCATTCTCAGGGAATAGGCATTGAATAGAATATCTGGCAGAATTGCCTGTACTATTTAAATTATCCTTACCTTTTATTTTTTTAGCGACGATCTTACAGTTGAAATAATATAGTTGAGTTAACAAATTAAATCACGTAGAGTGAAATCTCATTACACGAGAAAAGCCAATTTCTTAATGTATCAGAAAATTTTGTTTCAGGAAATTAAATAGTTGCACATAAATGTACAATAATACAGTCAACAGATTTATGTAGTCCTAGGAATTTCTTCTGCAAAGGGTCTGTTAGGGCAATTACAATGTTAAAATCAAGTCTCTGAGTTTGTAAAGCTGGCATGCATATACTCTGCCCTTTGGTGAGCAGAGTTACTAATTACATTATTAATTCAATAGAAATCCAGTGGTTTCCTAGAAGTTAAATGATTTTTGTTGTTGTTGCTGTTCTTTGACCAAGAATATCTGTACTTTGGTCCAAGTACATGTAGTAAATGACCCTCGGACATTGGTATGGGAGAAAAGGA